AGGAGCACCTGGCCTATTTTATAGAGAAAGAATCCAGATCCTCTGAGAACAGAACTCATCAAAGAAAATCAAAGCAGGAGCCAGCCTTTGGCAGTTGTGCTGCACATCTGCTGATTGAATTCATATCTATTCAACCCTCAGAATCCTTAGGACAGAACCCCAGTAACTGGCGTTTTAAACGCCTTGCACAGAGCCCAAGAAAAAGCAGGCAATTGGTAGATATTTGATGAATTAAAGAATCTCTAATTCCTCACCTTAGACAAGGATGTATGCTCAAAATTAGAATGTCTTACGAGTTTATATAAATTACTGTCAAGTCAGTGATTTTTTTTTCTTAAATATTACAGAGCAGGAAGATGGGAATCAATTTTAATGCGTATGGCACATGGACTGTCCCCCATGCTTCCAGGTTCTATCTACAAACTCATAGGAGAGGCTAACTTTTGATTTGCCTCTAGCCTCGCACAGAGTATGAACTTGCACTGTTGATACACGCGCTTTGTTTCCTTCGCCAATCTCTGTGTGCAACTGGCGAGGGACAGGAGGGAGGGGGCAATTTCTCCCACTGGAGTATGCCCAGGATTCATTTCTCTCTGACCAATTCTAGCCTATTTATTATTTAAATTTGGTCAAGAAGCCTAAACATAGTTAAAGAAGATTATCTAAATACAGAGCTTCCTTATATAAACTGTGATTTTCAAATGCCACACAGATAAGCTCAAGAAGCACCGAAACTATTGGATTTCCTAGTAAACGGGTACCACCCCCTGAAACTCACTTCAGTACAGGGAGCCTTCAGAACAAAGCACCTGGAGCTTTAATCAGATTGGATATGGAGTTTGGAGACAAATAGCCACCTCACTCACTCTATTGTCATTCTCCGGCCTCATGCTGAGTGACCAGGTTACAAGAGAGACCACACAACAAAGTCATTTTGGTTCCTTGGGTTGGCAAAGCGTCCACTTCTGTGAACAGAAAAGAGCTCTATTTATGACACTGTGTCTACCTGTCTGCCATGAAGCAATGCAGGAGCAACTGTAAGAGGGAGAAAAAGCCCAAGGACATACTCACCCTCTGCTCCCCAGCATCCTTGAGAGGAAGGGGAGAACTGACCAGGCAGTGAGTCAAAATTAAAACGGTCCTGAGTGATAATTTTAAAACAAACACATCTCTCACTTTCTTGGAGAAAACTATTGATTAGTCTTATCTACCTGGGACCAGACTATTTGGGAACTAAAACTATATAAACCTGTCTCATATCTGATTCACCAATCATCCTCAATTTCACCTCCATGCTCAGGTCTATCATCCTAATTTGGGGTGAAACACGTATCTGCACTAACTAGATGAGTCTCCTTTAACTGACTTGTTAAAGTCATAAGTCATTTCAAACTAGGTTTGCATCTGCAAAGAAACAAAGGGCAGAAAGAAATGTCATTATTTTGCATCTTAATTGTTTCCCTAGGTGCTGCAGCTCATTAAACTGCCTTAAGTCTTGAAGGTGATGTTTAACAGGCCATGCCTCTTGCCTGCAGTATTTCAACTCCTAACCAATGGTACTTGTCAATCCTCACCTTATAACCTGCAAAATGACCCAGAGATTGGTGTGGTCCATCATTCTAAGTACAGTGTTCGGGTACAGGAGGTTGCCTTAGCAGCAGAGGGTCAGGAAAGGCCCAAACTGCTCAGAAAGAGGATGCACCCTAAACACATCCAGAGCAAGACCCTTCAGTACATTAAATGTGCCTGCAGGATCTTGGTTCTGCAGAACATTATAGCAAGAGGTTTCTCAGGAATGCAAATGGGAGCTTACAGAAGACAGTATCTTAAAGATAGATAGGCTACTACTATCAAACATTCGAAACAGGACCATAGGAAAACCAAGTCATTCTTGACATCTATTTTTTCCCCTCCAGTTTGGAGGGGGATGATAGACAACCCAGAAATTCATTCTCTGTTCTTCCATGGTGGCCCAAGAAAGCAGACAAATCTGTCCATCTCTCCACACCATGTAAGTGGAAAGTAACATAGCCCTGCATGAAGTAATTCTTTTTCTCGAGTTCAGAGCGCATAAAGCATACATATATCATCTAATCATTAGATACAGAAAGCATTTAACAGATGGGTCCATGCAAGAAATCAGCTTAACTTCCCACGTTGCTTGAAGATGTTCCATAACTTCCATTTTGGAAAACAGACATCAGCCTGCCATAATTACTGGTGCACACTGGTGTTGGTACTGAATCAGCTATGGGCTGAATTCTCACTAACACTCTTGATTTGCCTACACCTCAATCCGCTAGGTTTGAAGGCTTTAGACTTCATGGTACCCTCTCTCCCCAGAGAAATTCCAGATTTAAAAGTCAGCTTATGGTCCCAAGCCTTCCCTCTTATCTCTTCACAGGGGAGACATGAAGATTCAAAGGATTATGTCAGCAATGCTTGAAAAATGAAAAGGCTTCTCAAATGGACTAGTTTGGCTTATTTTAAATAATACAAGATGCTCTTTTCTTTTCTTTTTTTTCTGTGTTCCCTTAAGTTAATTTTACCTCCCACATTTTCTCCCAAAGTAAGAACTTTTTAAAATCTTTTTGTTTTGTTCTTTAAGAGCTGGAACCTCTGAGATTCCTACCTGATTTGAGCTAAATTTACTCCAAGGGTTTTATCAAAACATATTGGACTGAAAAACTCTGATCTCAATCCAGATGCTAATTAAAACCCTTCCTGAGTCATGCTGCTATGGTTACTGGGATTTCTCCAAGCACTGTGACTCTCAAGTGAGAAAGTTTTAGTTATTTCCCCAGGCTCAGGTGGCATTTCCGGGACTGGACCAGGCTGGTTTCTATTATAGGGTATGGGTGGTTGCTGCCACACTTAACAGCTCTGGGTGGCTTCTGACTACATTACAACTTACCGCCCCCATTCGGTTCTGTTGTTCGACTTATTTCAATAATAGGATGTTATGAAAGTCTTATCATCATCCCATTTTAGAAAAAGAGGAACCTGAAAACTCAAATCACAGTAAACAGCTGGTGCAAGGCCACTCAATAAAAGAGATGGAGTATAAACTTGGTTTTCTGACACTGACAATGGTACTTTCCACCAACCTACCAGAAACAGAGGCACACAAATACAAGGGGCTGATGCTCCTATGCCTGACGATGTGTACTGTATGTTTAGGAGCACAGACCTGGGGCTGGACTACTAGGTATGGTTGCGGCCTTGGACAGGTTACTTCAGCTCTCTATATCTGTCTTGTCACCTAGGGATTGGGGATGGTAATCCTTCCCCTTTAGGGCTGAAGTGAGTTATCATGTCTAACATCCCTGAATCTGTACCTGGCCCTTAGGAAGTATTATATAGATGGGAGTTCATTTTTGGCTGGTGAATTGTTCATTCATTCAGGGAGTTAAAATTGTAGCCAAAGAGTCTGCAATCACCTGAAGATCTGAAAGGTGTCTATTCTGCATGGTAGGAAGCCTATGCATTACCAGAACAAAGGGATGATGGCCATGAGAACAAGCCCACGTTAGATCACATCACATCCTGAGAGCCTTGACGTTCAAAGTCAAGTGTCACAGCTGCTTCTCTCTGTGGTCAATTCCCTTGTTTCTGACATCCACCTAGGGCACATCCACTGAAACAGAATACTGGCAATGACAGGACTAGAGAAATCTGTCTTTTTTTAAAAAACAGCAGGTTTCTTTTTTCCCCTGATAAAATCAGTTTTGCTTTCACTGAGGGATTTTTTTCCCCCCTCACAATTTAAATCCCATGCACAGCTCAGTACCTTTAAAAAGGCATTTATTTTTCTGGAGCCTTTGAAAGGTACTTTAAACTGGCAGGACAGCAGCGAGGCTGTGCGAAAAGCTGTGAGATTCAACGTGCTAACATGAAACTACATTTTTTTTTTTCCTTTAAAAACCACATCTGAGGACTGGGGATGTAGCTCAGTGGTAGAGCGCTTGTCTAGCATGTACAAAGCCCTGGGTTCAATCCCCAGGACTGAAAAAAATGAAGTAAAAAAATAAACATCTGAGAGTTACTAACCAAGTGCAAAGCTTCCTCTTTTCTAATTTTAGCCCCAGTACCTAATCACCATCTGGGTAATAGTTTATTAAGCACACACTTGGCTTTGCCTGTTTTGCTTTCTTTAGCCCTCTTTTGCATGCTTATACAAATAAAAAGCTTCAGAGTTCCTTTAAAAAAATCCTGCAGAAGACACTTATAAAAAAACAAAAACCCAGGCCCAGCAACTTGGGAAGCTGAGGCAGGAGGATAGCAAGTTTGAGGCTAGCTTCAGCAAGCCCCTGTCTGAAAATTTTTAAAAAGGCAAAAAAAGGCCGAAATAAAGCAACCTTGGGTTCAGTTCCTAGTACCAGAGAGACAGAGAGAAAGATGTGGAACAAAAGAGTACCAGGTATAAAAATATGGATACCATAAGGGTGACAGCCTGGCAGGGTTTCTCACCCCCCCCCCCAACACCATTTTTACTTTTTGTGATGCTGAGGATGGAACCCAGAGTCCCCCTCAAGCATGCATTCCACCCTGAGCTATACTTCTAGCTTTAAAAGATTCGTTCCTTAGATGTTTATTGATTTATTCATGATTTATTCATTTACACACCTGCTGAGAATCGAACCCAGTGCCTCACCCGCTAGGCAAGTGCTCTACCACTAAGCCACAACCCCAGCTCCTTAAGGATTCATTGCAAATAGCCAAACCCTGCAGGGCTCTGCTTGTAAGTTTGTTTGCAAAGCTCCAGCACAAACAATAATTCTTTTTCTCTGAAGGCTGCACTGGGCCTCTTCAAAATTTACATAAAGGCACAATGGCCTCTGGGCAGACACTGCTGCCCAGAGGGGAGGCCTGGAGGTTGGGCCTAAAGGCCTTCCAGCAAGGCAGCAAAGGTCAAGCTTTCTGGAGAGAGGCCCTGGACCTGCCAGCAGGTACTTTTCCTTAAGAGCCAAGTTGTTTTCCCACAGGACACTGTTACTCACCTGGACTTGGGAGGCGGGGGAGGAGGTGAGAATGCCTCCATCCTGCTTCTGTCCTTGGGAAACTCAAAGGCAAAAGAAGCCGATTTGCTCATCCCAGTCCCAGCTTTGCTATTCTGTCCCGAGGAGCCATCCATGCTGTGGAGACGGTGCCAGGTAGAGGAATTTGAATGGTCCATGATGCCATTTTCTGTCTCTCTTCCCCAGCTTTGACTCAACAATTCCTGCTCCACCTCCTCCTCTTCCTCTATCCGGCACTGACGACTCCAGGCACCAGTCTGGAACCTGGGCCGCCTCTGGTCCAAGGCTGAAGAGGTGGCGGGTGGAAGACATCTGGCAGGCTCATTGCTGACGATGCCATTGATCCGACAGGAAGAAGCGGGGTCGGTGGGGCCTTGGGATGAAGGCTGGGGTCCAAGGCCACTGCCACTGGAGCCCCCCTCACCGGGGTCAGCCAGTGGGGAAGAGGACGGAGATGCACCAGGGCTACTCTTAGACAGCTTGGGGGGGATGGCAGGCCTGGCCTTGGGTGTGCTCTCAGTCGCATCATGAGGATGGCTCTCACTGGAGCTCGGTCCCTGCCCATCTGGGGTCTGCTCTTCCCCAGCCTCTGAGTTCTGGCTCACAGGCCCACGTGGCCACTGCACCCCCACTGCAGAGTCAGGGCTACTCAGGTAGATGGTCCGATGGTCCTCTTCTGGGTGGGCCGCCATAACTGTAATGGTAGCTGACACCTGGGGAGTCCTGTCTGAGCCTTCCCTGTCCTGACTCCAGCCAGACACTGTTTTCTGAGTCCAGACATCACCTGTCCATACCTGGCCCTGGCCCTGGCCTTGGCCCTGAGTAGCTGCTGCCTGTTCTGCCTTGGCCTGTGGCCTGGAAGGCACCGGCACTGGTTTCTTCCTCTTGGTGCTCTCGGCATAGATGGGCTCTGGCTGTACAGCCTCCCTGGGGTGGGGTGGGGCCTGGGGCTCTGCAGCCAGCCCTGGGCATCTGCTAGAGGTCGCCAAGTGGCAGCCCGAGTCCTGTTGCTTCCCAGACTCTGGTTCCTTCACCAGGGAGCAGTAATCGCTCTCAAGGTGGGCAGCGAAGGGGCTGCTGGCGCCACTGTGGGTGCTGCCGCAGGACAGGCCATCGGAAGAACTGGCGGCGTCTGAAGCAAGGGACAGCTTCTTGGGCCCCAGGTGGGGCCTGTTGGCTGTGGGGCCCTGGCCACAGCACTCACTGGGGAAGCTCAGAACCCGCTTCTCCTCGTCCTTAGGCCCAGCACAAGTTCCCTGCTCCCAGCAGGTGGGCGAGCAGGTCCCTGCGCCAGGTCTGCCCCGGGAGCCCTCAGCAAGAGCAGCATCCTTGGCCACAGGGCTCCCGGGGCAACAGTCCACAATGGAGCAGTATTCTCCGCCTTCACTGTCCCCAGAGGGCGAGCACCTTTGATCGCTGTCATCCTCAGAGGGCAGGGACTCCCGCAGGGGCTGAGGAGAGGGGCAGGGCCTAGGGCTCTTGGGACAGCCAGATGTCATCCCGGCAAACGCGGCCAGTTTCTGGCGGAAGCTCTCCTGAGCCGTGGGCAGCTCTGGGTAGGGAAAGGGGGGTTTCTCTTCCCGTCCAGGCTTCTCGTCGGGGAAGCTCCCAGGGTGGATGGCGATGTTCCTTTCCCCACGGGCCTCCAGGTTGTGCAGGCCCACCATGGCGTAGGCAGGGGGACAGCGAGGGCCACCATCCGCGCAGGCAGGGGGAGCCGCAGGCTTCTGTATGCCGCGGAAGCTGCCCAGGTAAACTATAGGCATGCTTTCCTGCTTTGGGAGGGGGAGCTTGCCCGGGGCTCGTCTCCAGAGTGCCTACACAGACCAAGGTGAAAAGACTTAGATTAGAGAGAAAAAGTGACAGCCAAGTGCCATGACATTGTCAACTGCCTTCTATAGTGCAGTGCGAGCACGTGGGAGCAGGGACTCCCGGGCACACCCCCCTTCTGATCTCCCCATGCTTAGGAGCATTGCTGGGGCACCCACTGAGCCCAGCTTCCATCCCAGGGTCTGTAATGCTTTTGGCTTAAGTCTGTGAGATAGGAAAAAAACCCCACAAACCCTCAAAGAGAACATTTTGCCTTTGTCACAAGTGTTGGGTGAAATAGGTCTCTTACAGGCTTGGAAAATAGAGAGTTTGGTTTTAAGTTTTTGCTTTCTGTTGGTTGGCTTTTTGATAACCCTGTCACGGTGCATTCCAGAAGAAACAGAAGTCATATGATTTTTAAACACCTGGGGTGTGTGGCCGGGCAGGGCAGGAAGTGAGGGATCACTCTTAGCTGAGTCCAGGCTTCTTCTCTCCTAGCTGGGTTCTGCCTCAGGCAAAGCTAAAAAGCTGCTCTTTTTCCCAGTTAACAAGGTTACCTCAGCCAGAGTTGCCTAAGTGACTAGACCAGTTGGGCTATGAAAGAGAGATGTGGACTAGCCATTCCCATCCCTGTTCCCTTTTCCTTCCCTTCTAAAGTCCCCATCACCACCCCTTTTAGAAACAGTTTCAAAGTAGGGCCTGCATTTGGCTCCTTTCCCAAAGGATTCAGAACTTGGAGAGTCCCTGGCTTATGTAGGTGAAGGTTGAAGGTGTAGGGAATGGCCTGGCGAATGGGTGTAACCAGTTTAGGGAAAATGGAACAGCGCTGTGAGGGACATGGAACTCATAGCAACCACAGGAAATGCCTCTCTTCAATTAAGCCTCCTCCGATTTAAAACTGACCTTTGTTTTCACATAAAGCTCACACACCCTTCCTGATCCACTCACCACATTGGCTGAGAAAAACTAGAACATGCAAAGAGGTCAACATGGAGCAAGCAGTTCTTAGGAATGTCTTAGACATAAAGCCTCTAAGATGTGTCCCAAGTCGGCAAATTCCAGCAGCCCTGGTCTATGTGTCATCTCAATTATTATTCCTAAGGGTTATCTGTGAGATGAGCAGAAAGGTCTAACCTTTAGGGATGTAATTGTTTCAATAGATTCTAGATCAAAACTGTTTGTTAAATCCAAGCTTTAAAATTATAAGCTGAATGTAGTGGTGGTATATGCCTGTAAGTCCAGCAGCCTGGAAGACTGAGGGCCTAAACAACTTAATAAAACTCTGTCTCTAAATAAATAAATAAGGGCTGGGGATGAGGCTTAGTAAGTATTTAAGCAACCCTGAATTCAATCCCTGGTACCAAAAAAAAAAAAAAAAAGAGGGGGGATTATGAACCTTCCCTGAGTATTAGAAGATAATACATAATTAGTGTTAATATTTTAAGTGTGGTAATGGCATTGTTTTTTTTAATAAAAACTTTTATATTTTAACATTACTAAAATGATATGCAATTGGTGCATAAGGTCAGAGATGAAACAAGATTGGTCATGAGCTGATGGATTTTGAAGCTTATGTTGATGAGTGCTGTGTGCATGAGATTCATTATGTAATGACTGCTAATTGTATATACATCTAAAATTGTCAGTTGAATTTTTTATTTTTATTTTTTGGTATGGGGGATTGAACCCAGGGGTGCTTTAACACTGAGCCTCATCCCCAGCCCTTTTTTTTAAATTTTATATTTTGAAACAGGGTTTCACTAAGTTGCTTAGGGCCTTGCTAAATCATCAGTTGAAATTTTTAAAAGAGGTTTTTCATTTTTGGTCTGCCCTGAGACAAGTCTCCGTATCACAGGAGGAAATCTGAGGGACTGGAGACAATAATTAGCCTAAAGGGACAGATACAAAGGAGGGTGGCAATCGCCAAATAGCAGCAGTCAGGGCAAAGCAATCTCTGGGCAAGCCAACGGGCAGCCATCCTACCGGATTCTTGCTCCAACAGCCCTCCCTGGCTGCCAGCCAGTCACCAAGTGTTAGAAAAGAAGCAGCCCCTATTAAAATACCACAGGGGTTAGTCAGCCTCACCTGCTGGACGTCAGCACTCAGGTTGGCCTCCGTCCACACGTCGGAAGTCTCTGAGCTCATCATGGTGGGTTTCACAGCAATCGTGGGCTTGGAATAGGGTGAGCTGTTCACACCTTCATCTTCCAGGCGGCAATTCTCAGGCCTGGGGGGCAGGCGTGGTGGAGGGGGCAGGCTGCCTGCTCTGGGCTGGGGACAGCCAGCTGCCAGCTGGTGGTCGCTCCGTAGGCAGAAGCAGTTCTTGCAGGACCCGGGCTTCCAGATATGCTCCACAAAGTCACTGCACGCAGACATTTTGGGGCTCTCAGGGTTCAGTCGGATGGTCTGGAGCATCGTGGGCCAGTAGTGTGCTGGTTCATCTTGTGCCCAGCCCTCTGGCGTAGTCTTGTGGCAGACAGAGGTAGGTCCTGGAGCAGACACCTGGAAAGGCAGATCACTGGCCTGATTAGAAGACGGTTGTATTAGCAATTAGAGTCTAATTATCTGATTAGGGAAGAGAACAGAGGACACAGTGGGGTAAGGAGGAGCAACAAGGTAAAGAGGAGTATTCCATTTATTCTGGGGCCCTCACGCTCTTGTCACAATGTTCTTGGACGCTCTCTAGTGGAGTGACCTTATCAGGAGCTGCAAAAACTAGACTGCAAAATAAAAGACATTTCAGGTCCTTAAAACACTGAGTACTTGAGGGTGTGGGACAGTTATAAGAGGGAATCATGGAGTTTGAGAAGGGAAGCCTGTACCTCCTTGATATATTCTTTAAGATACTGCAGACGGAGTCCAGAGCATAAGGCACTGCCCCCAAGAAAGAAGAACCTCAAAGTAGTACAACAAATAAAAACAACGGCTTCCAGATGATAACTCACAATTTTTTTTCCAGATTTTCTAATATTTTATTACATTGACTTTCTTTGCTTTATCTTTTCACATACACATACTTTTCCCCCTGAACCATTTAATAATCTGCACGTCTAACCACACAATTCACAACCAGAAAGTAATATTGATTCAATACCTATACGTAGTTTTAAGATGTTGATTATCCTAGTAATGTCTCTTATAGCAATTTAAGGGCAGACAGGTGGCCTCCAGGCCCCAAGCCAGGATTACATGTTTCATTTAGATAACCCACAATTTTTGATCAAGAACTCTATTAAAATAAAAGCAGGGCCAGGCACGATGGCACACGCCTGTAATCCCAGCTGCTCCAGAGGCTGAGGCAGGAGGATCTTGAGTTCAAAGCCAGACTCAGCAAAAAGTGAGGTGCTAAGCAACTCAGTGAGACCCTGTCTCTAAATCTAATTCAAAAATAGGGCTGGGGATGTGGCTCAGTGACCAAGTGACCAAGTTCCATCCCTGGCACCACCCTCCAGCCAAAAAAAAAAAAATAGAAGAAGGGCTGAAATGGGCATTGTCATCCGTATGCCGGACAGGTGGAGATGGGAATGGGTGAGGAAGAGGTGTGGTGCTGGTCCATCCTCCAGGGGCACCTTGTCAGGAGATCTGACATCTGGGAATTCTGGCCCCTCCTCTTCCTTGGGTTCAACCCTGCCTGAGCTGAGTGAGGTCATCAAAGCTGGGCACTGCAAGCCAAGGAGAAAGACAGAAGAGAGAGAAATGCATGGTCATCACAGTCCTGGCCTGAAAGTAAACTGGACAGAATATAAGAGAAGTGATTATCGGATGGTGTTTTCCCTATCGTAGCTCGGGGGTGAAGATTAATCAGCTTCTTGAAAGAGTTCAGTTCTTCTGAGAGTAAAGCTGGAAGCCCAGTTTGCACCATGCCCCCTGTAAATTCACCCCCGAGGAGATCAAAGGGCTGCAAACATTAGCCAATTAATCTGAATAACATCCCATCGGCAGCTGTGATCCCCATTCTACAGGTGGGGAAACTTCAGCAAGGACAAAATCTGACACTCGTCCAAGGACACAGGTTTTGGTGCTTGTGGCAAGAGAAGGCAACTTTGCTGGCAGTCCTTCACCTCACCTCATGGTTCCAGATACTGAGGAAATACTGAGGAGCTTGCTGCTCCCTGTTCCTCATTCCTGTTCTTCCTTGAGTCCCGGAGGTGAAGAGATTCTCACTGCTCAGAGAGGGTTTCACCCGAGGGTTTCACTCCACTTTGCTCCGTGAGAATCTGCTTGAGGTTGATGTTCTCTAAACAATCAACAGGACTAACCAGGTGGAATGTGCCAGGAGCTCCAAAGAAAATTCCAGAGCCTTTGTGGGAAGCGCCCTCTTTCTTGTCTCCCACACTCACAGACGGAGGTGCTTATACTCAAGGAGTGCTGAAGCTAAATGGAACACTTTTTCCTCCGAAGCTAACAATGAAGCCAACTCCCATCTTTAAGCTAAAGGAACAGCCAGAAGAACAGACTGTCAGTGGCCACCTAGAGCCTTTGATCCTTTTCTTTAATGATTGCTATTTCAATTCTTCTTCTCCAACTACACCCAAGTAGTAGGTTCATTTCCCTGCCAAGTTCTCTAGGATAAGTCATGGGCTTCAACCAGCAGAGGAGGCATAGCCCAGGGCTTCTCTTTCCCTTGCAGTGTCAGAGATGCAGGCTAGCTGGAAAGTGGAGGGAGTGTTTTGGTCTTCAGGGGAGGGGAGTGGGTTCTTCCTGGGAAGCTGATGAGCCAAGGCTGACTAGACCAGTCCCGGAAGACACCGCCAGGCTCACATCTATGACAGGCAGAGGCTCCCACGCCCCCTCTGTGGGATGGAGGAAGAGAGCTTGGAAACCAGCTCTGTGTGGGCTCATCAGCTTCCTGCCAGCTCTTGGTCAAGCTGGGCTATCTGAGGAGGTTGGCATCTAACCACTTCCTCAGCGGCTACCACAGATTCACAAAGAAGCCGTTTTGCAAGGCCACATCTCATTTCCTTCCTCAGCAGGAACTCAAATTTGTGATGGGGAGGTTGCTTGGTGCCAGATGCCCCACTTTCTAAGCCCCCCCACTCACCCTCCTTTATAGCCATTGGCCTGCAATAGCCCTGGGAGTTAGGTAGGCCTGGGATTACTATCCTGCAGGTTTCCTTGAGGCCCCCCTCCCTAGTTTATGATGTTGTCCTTGCTCTCAGCGTCAACTCTGAAATTCTCTGCAGGTCAGTTTCAACTTTCACCACACAACTTCCCAGAGACACAGAGCTGTTTAAAGGGGCCAGTTGCCCAGGTACACACCTGCATTCACAGTCCAAGGCCAGGCTCACTGACTTAGCAAGATCCTGTCTCGAAATATAGAACAAAAAGGGCTGAAGGTGTAACTCAGTGGTAAAGCACCCCTGAGTTTCATCTCCAGGATGGAGGGTGGAGTGGAGGGGTATTTAAAGGGGACACCATTAAATAAGGGGACAAAATGAAGCTCTGGATTTGCCATCATCACTAACTATATCCTATTAAAACTGGTTTCTCGGTCAAAGCAAACAGAATTTACCACCATGTCTGTTTGGCCAGAAAGGGCCCTTTTCATGTTGCACTTCTTTGCCTGGAAGTACCTCCTATTTGTTTTAAATTAAAAATAGTGAAGCATGCAGCAAGTGGCGCTCACCATGCAGGAGTGAGCTGACACACCTCACAGGTGCCAGCTCCTCAGCCTGGGAATGGCACCTTCTCAGCCCACATTCCTTACCTCTGAGGGGTGGCGCCCCCAGAATTATGCAAATTCCCCCATTGCAGTGGGAGGCAGCAGTGTAAGATTAGAAAAAGATTTCAACATTCTTTCTGATCTAAGCCATGACAAAATAGCTTCATCTCTGCAAACTTCTGCGCTAGATTTGTGGCTACAATTTACAAGACCAAAGCTGTCAGATACACTCCCACCCCATTTCTTGAAGAATCTGAAGAAAATGGGTGGCCAGATCCATAAAATTAAATATCTTGGCTCAAAATACCCCTCATATTTACAGCAAGTTACTTACGTCTTACTCTAAAGTGACAGAATTCCGCAAAACTCTAACCAAAAAAAAAAAAATCTATATATTGCAATTAAATGAATGCAACATCTGAAAAAGGAAATACACGTGGATTTCAACACACTCTTGCTGGCGAGGGTTAACCAGGCAGAAGAGAGAAAGTGGCAATGGTAACTACCCCCTCAACCAACACACTCAGAGGATAAATTGTTATATTCACACAACTTTCTCTTTTCTTTTTTCTTTCTCCAATGCTGTGTAATCTAATCTCGGCAGGAGGAATGTGGTTCTGCACCCACTACAGTCTAAATTGATAAGAAGGACACCTGAGTTCTACAGGACCCCAAGATAGCAAACTGCAGAATTCCCTAGGGTTTCCCGTCACATTTCCTTTTCAGAAAAGGAAGAGAAAGCGTTGTTAATGATAGTTCAGCCCAGTGATCAATAAAGCCTTTCAAACCCGACTCAGGGCTAAATGCATTGCAAAACTCCTGGCCCCTAGACCTTTGGGCTTTGCTACGGGCTCTGCAAACCATGTGCTGGCTGAGCTTTACCTGGGAGAAATACACACAGTGAGCCAGTGGCCGCTGCTTGCTGCGAATACTCAGGCGGCTCCATTCCCATTCACAAGACATGAAGTAGAGAGGTTCTATTTTCCGTGTGTGTGTGTGTGTGTGTGTGTGTGTGTGTGTGTGTGTGTGTGTGTGTGTGTGTGTGTGTGTGTGTGTGTGTGTGTGTGTGTGTGTGTTTCGCCGGTTAGGGAGGGGGCAGCACAAGCAAAGGTTAAGAACCTGCTCACAGCATTTAGGGAGCTCAGCTCGGGCTTGGAAAAAGGTATCACCCAGTTGCTTCTCAAGGCCCGCTGCTGCAAAAGAGGTAACTACCCTAACTCCCAAATCGTCCTAGGGAACTGTTCGGAGCAGCCCGGGCGATCTCTCCTTCTCCGCTCCTTTGACAAAGCTCGCGGTGGAAAGCGTTTCAGTCTCCCATCGCACACAGCAGCCAGACCGGTACCACCCTCAGAACAGTCGGTTCCCCGCTCCCGGAACTCGAAGGAAAGTTTCCCCCTTTAAAGAGCGCGATACTCGAATGAATTGAAAACCACTCGGGCTCCCCAGTTCTCCCCGCTCGGCGCCTCCACCTCCAGCACAACCCCGGGTGCACGCGGTTCAGTCGCTCCACTCGCCGGGATCCGCCGCCTGTCACCCAGGGCGACACCGACAGGGGATTCCCTGCGCGGCGACCGCAGCGCTCTTGCAACCCACCACCACCACCACCACCACCACCCGGTGAGGCCACGTTTGCCAGACAAAAAGAGCCCGAATTTGCAAAAAGCCGCATGGACTCACCTCGGGGCTGCGCTCCTCTGGCCTCGCCGTCGGTGGCCTCGCCGTCCGCCGCCCGACTGGGCGCCCAGGATCATTGTTTGGAGAGTGTCTGCGCGCGGTGCGTGCCCGGCGGCGGGCGGGTGGCCTCTGCCTGGGCCCGGCGGCCGGGTGGCAGCTGTGAGCGCGGCTCCGCCCCCTCCGCCTCCGGTTACGCCGCCCTCCGCGGCTCGCGCCGCACCTCCGCAGTCCCCGCCGCCTCTCCGCGTCCCCCCAGCCCAGCGAGCCCGCCCAGCAGCTACAGCTCTCCAGCCCCCCATCCTTCCAAACTCCACGCCCCGCCCCTGCCTCCCGCTCCCTGCCCACCAGCTTGCAACCGCGAAGCTCCGCCCCGACTCCCGGCGCCAGCTGACCCCCGCCCCCCCCACCCCCCAGCTAACCCCCTCTGGCCACCCTCTCCTCAGCCATGACTCTGCTCAGTTCTGCAGGGGCTTGCTTGCTTCCGTGTCTGAAGGCTTTCTTAGCCACAGTGCTTGCACAGGTATAGTTATGGGAATAGGTGCTGTGCATCCATTCATCCAGTTGGCCTGGCGAGACCCTGGTCAGGGAGGGAGAAGGAGGAAGAAAGAAGGAAGTGAGGGGCCCGGAGAGGAATGACCAGGTATGGGTCTGAGGCTCTGAAAGCGGCGTGGATACAGTCACTGCCCGTTCCTCTTACCCTGGGAGAAGGGTGGTGGTGCGGCTGGAGGAGCGAGGCTGGGAATCCCAGGCTGCAGATTCCAGGTCCTGCGGGGTGCCTCTGGCAAATTGCTTAACCTCTTTGAACTTTAGTGTTCTGCATGTGGAATGCAAAGGTTGGAAGAGAGCGCTGGCCTACCATCTCGCTGGGACTTATAAGTCCTCCGCGGGCCCATATTACACCTGTGTTTACACGAGTTCCAGTGAGTCATTCACGGAGATAGAAAGAGTTCGAGATATTCCTCCTCGGCGAAAAGTCTTTTAACTCCGAGTCCCTCCCTTCCTCCCGCTACCTAGGTAGGACAGGCTTGCACCTTGGCCTGGGTGTATCCTCAGAAAGCCCAGGCCAAAGTCACCTCCCAGGGCTCTAGGCTGAGAGAACTGAAACAGGAAAAGACCCCACAAAAAACGCTGAGACAGTGTTTGAAATTCCATATAGGGTCCTTTTCCAGAATAAGCCTATGAGTCACCAACACCACAGGAGGAAGCTGGGTCCTTAGATTCCTTTACTGTCCTCCCTTTGTGGCAGTTATATAGCAGGAGTGAGGGGGAGGGGATAGGTGGAGGGAACAGAAGGAGAAGACATGTTTGAGACATGTTTGCCTTCTGTGGGGAAAAAGAAAAATGGCAAAAGGGGACATAGGGAATACTTCCCTGCCCTAATGTCACCAATTTCTCCTAAGAGTATGGATAGAATTTCAAGGAAGGTATAGAGAGAGGGGAGAGGAACTAACATTTGTGTAGATATCCTGTGTCAAGCAAGCCCATGCAGGGTTAAAAAAAAAAAGTCCTCCACCCCATTTTACAGAGAAGAAAACTGAGGCTCAGAGGACCACATTATTTGCCAGGGTTTCTCAGCTGAAAACTGGAATTGGAATCAAGGGCTGTCTGATTCCACTGACAGGTGAGTTCACAACACCCTCCCCAAGTAGTGATAGTCCAGCCCTATCTCTCTTCCCAGTGCAAGGGGAAATAGTTTGAACAAATATGTAAGGAAAACTTTGGTTAGGCTCTATCAGCATCCACATGAGCTGAAAGATCCAGTCCATGCATCTACCAAGACCCAAGAGGGGAATGTACTGATAAGCAGGTAGGTATAAAGTCATTTACACTAAAGAAATACAAAAGTCACTTGGGAGGTGCATGCAATTCAATTATACTGGAACCTCTATCAAGGTTTGTGAGAAGTTCATGATTCCTAGGATTTAGTTTAGCTATTTCACTTCTTCCTTTGTAAGATCCACTAGAAGGGGACACCCACCTTACAGGATAAATAAAGGTCATGCCAAACACATAAGAGATACTTTAATTTTTTTTAACCTAAGTGTATCCTTAATATAGGAACAGACTAAAGAACATAATTAATAATAATAATAATAGAAGTAAAAGTCTTTGCATGACAAGACCACTGGTCCTATGGCTTGGGACAGCAATTGAAGTGTTAATCCCATGTTTCTGCAAAATAAACTATTCTCAAGTGGTTTGCTCCGCTCACACAAAATAAATGCATTATACTGTAGTTGCTGACATATAATGTGCATCTTTTTATGCCAGCAACATGGCCATAAAGATGGATTCATCTTGCCTAATGAAAAGAATCAAAAGACATTTCAAGAGAATCATTTAGATGCGCATAAAATCCCCATCCTCTTTTGCAGTGCTCAGCTAGTGACTGTTAGGTATGAGGTATCCTTCATCAAGCTATGGTAAACTCATGAACAATTCTCCAAACTGCACCCTGCCTGCAATGCAGTGCAATTTGTGTGGACACAGCATTCTGCTACTTATCAGTCCATTTTCATTACACTTTTAACTGCTGGGCTTGGGCTTCCTGAAACAGATCAGACCTTTAAGAAGAGTGATTCTCTCCAGTATTTTAGTTTACAGGCACCATTCTGTGTAAGATGGAAGTTAAATTTTAGGAGATTAAGATAAGGAGTTGGGACAGGTAGGGCTTTTGGGTGAGCAAGATAAGGTAGTTTGGAATTGGAAAAGCAAAAAAGGCAAAATTAGAAAGAACACAGTATTCAATTATCCTGGAAAAATGCAATCTGGGATGTTTGAGAAGCATATAGACTGGGCCAAGGAATTTCCGTGAGTGATATTTTCCCAGCTGGAGGATAGGTCTCAAATAATAGAGAGGAATCTCTCACCTTAAAGTGTGAAAGGTGTTTAATTTTAGTCCGTGGGTATTTATTGAGTGCTTTCTCCTTATGAAGCACTAGATGAGGTTCCACAGGGAAACTAAAGAAAAAAGAGTAAGAGGCAAAAAATATAAGCTCTAGGAGAGGAAGATGAGCTGGGGACAGAGCAGATTCAAAACAGGAAAAAAACAGAAACACAAGAAGTAGTTTCATGGAAGAAGGGGGCTTTGCACCATAAGATAGCTACTTGTGGATAACGGAGACTTTCTAGACTGACAGAAGATTACCCACAATGGAACAGACATGGGAGAGGTAGAAGACTTTTTCTGAGTTCCCACTATAATCTGGTTGAAGATACACTGGGAAATTTGAGGTAGTACTGGATAGGAAGGGCTGGGTTTCAAAGCAAGCCAACAAGAAAGCATTGACACTTCTGAGCAGCAGGGTAACAGTATCCATATTAATTAGGGAGTAGGAGAAGAGATTGAAGATAAGGAGACTGGCTTAAGAATTTCTATCCCTGGTCCAGATGGGAGGCAGTGGGCTTTGGTAAGAAAGACAGTGAAGGAAATAGCAAGATGGATGGTGTATGGATGGTTTGGAGAGACGAAAAGAAGGAGACTTTTGGAGAATGTAACTAGGTTACATAACGGAGCACTTACTCCATGTCAAGCCCTGTGTACCCAATAGTTGACGTGGTTTCTCCCACTTAAAGCTCACCCAAACACTGTGATCGAAACCCAAACACAGTGATCTAAAAGAGGCCATGAAGAAAAGAAGGGTGGCCCCTTTTCTTCCAGACCTTTGAAACTCCAGAGCAGTCTGCAACAAGGTCTCCTGAAGAGGACAGATAGCCGGAAGGAAGAGGTGTTACCAAGGGCATTCCAGGCTTTAGTGATTGGCATCAGGTTGAGAGTGCGACACAAGATTAAACTCTTAGTTCCTTTGTTTATAGCAGCAGGAGGTTGAGAAGGACCCCAAGGAAGAAAGGAGTCAGATTTGAGGACAAATGGGATGGCTAAAGAGAGAGCTTGATTGGGGTGCAAGTAGAGATAAGGAGTATTTTATAAACGGAGAGAGCAACTGCAGAGGAGAGAGTTTAGTGCATCTGCAAACCATTGACACGTGCTCACTAAACACTGGGCTTAAAGCCAGGCTTGTCCTGATGCTATGTGGGGGTCCCAAAATCACCATGGAAGAGATTGGAAATAAGGAAAAAGTTCTTCTGAAACCTTGTTGTGAGGAGCTCTTCTGGGTTCCTTCTGATCTGCTAGATGGTTGTATCCCTGCAAGCCTGTTAAAGGTCGGTCTAGCAAGCATACAGGGTCCCACTCAAAGTCTTTCCTCCCAGAGCGACAACCAGCTCATTCAGCGGCAAATCCCAAGCACTCTCTTCCCTCTCTGAGGTGTAGAAATTGAAGTGATCTTATCAGTTGATCCTGTTCTGTGATCATGGCATCTCAAATTTGTGTCCCAATTTTTTAAAACCGTATCCAATTTCTTATTCTTCCTCCCTGATCTTAGTCATAGGAAGCCCTTAGGAGGAAAAAACATTATAAATAATTTATGGTATTATATTCCAAGCACTGAATAGTTTATTTACTTATTTATTTATTTATTTTTTCCTGCCCAGATGGGAAGGTATTATTTAAAAATAACCATGGGTGTCCATGTCTCAAACCACACGGGATGGAGAGCCAGAGATTCAAGGTCCTTATGATCTTTCTCTGGGCTCAAGCCCTATAAAGCTCATGTCATTGCTGAAGAAACAAAACACATTTTTCCTTTTTGTGTATAATTATGATTACAGGTACATTCAATGTTTATTAAATTTTTAGAAACTTCATTTTTCAAAATCTTACTGTTATGGATTGTATACCCTTCCCCCTAAAAAGACATGTTGAAATCCTAATGGCCAGTATTCTGTGATCTTATTTGGGACTTACAGACTGAATCAAGTTAAATGAGGTCATTAGGGTAGACCCTAAAATATTATAAACAATGTCCTTCTAAAAAGAGGAACTTGAACAGAGACAGACATATGCAGAGAGAAGACAGCATAGAGACACTGACAGAGTAGACAGTCACATGATGGGCGTAATGCCCGTATAAGACACGCGCTGAATGCCAAGGATCACCAGCCATCACCAAAAAGCAAGGAGACATAAAGAAAGACTTCTCTACGGCCATCGGACTGAGCCTGGCCTTGCTGACACCTTGGTTTCAGACTTCTAATCTTCAGAACTATGAGATGATAAATTTCTGTTGTTTTAAGTCATCCAGTTTGGTAGCCCTGGGAAAACAATCCTAGTTATCAATACAAAAGCATCTCAAAGAGCGATATATATATATATAATTGCTCCTGGTGTTTTCAGAAGATCAACTCATAAGAATGTGATGTATGGGAGCCAGGTCAATTGACGCCCACCCACTCTGGATGAATTGCTGAACTACTTTGTAATGGGAAGGTCAGGTGTCACCTCCTTCTCTCATTGGGAGCTTTGGCTTGTCCTATGAAGAGAATGGTCATTCTTTTCCCTATAGCTGCTGTCTCCCATTTCAGAATGTATGGTGAGGAGAAAGGCCTGGTTTGTTTACTGGATTGGCACGTGCACAGGTGAAAAACTCTGCCTCGATACTGACACTGTGAATGAGGCATATCGAAGGCATTCAGGATCACTCTGGGTCCGCAGACCCTTCTAGAGACGCCAGTGGCTAGAAAGGACATTAGAGATCACCTGGGTCTAATCCTTCCCCTACAGATATGGACTCTGAGGCTCTAAATGGTCAAGACTCATCCAAGTTCTCATAGGACTTCTTCTGAGGCTTCAAAGTTGTTTGGATTAAATGTGAACTTAGCTGTGAGCTAAGGATACTGAAAACGGGAAATATTTGAGGAATTAATTCATGATTCCCTGGGCTTGGTTTTCTGTCTGAGTCTGAACTGGGGTCAAAGTCAGGAAGAGGCAGAATCAAAGGAAAACATCACCCACTTGAAGTTTCAGTTCATTTGCCCTAAAGAGAATCTTCAAACAATAAAGCCACTTTGGAAAATAATTTGACAATTTCTTTTAAAGTTAAATGTAAGTTTTGTTATATGACCCAGCAATCCTACTACTAGGTATCACTCAAGAGAAATGAAAATTTCTGCACACATAGTTAGGCACACAAATGCCCATATAGCGTCATTAGCAACAGCAGAGTGAAAGTAGCTCAAATGTCCCTCAATTCATGAAATGAACAATAATGTGAAATACCTAATGCGATTGAATACTATTCCGTAATGAAGAATGTTACAACACGAAAGGAGTCAGACACAAAAGACTACTTAGGAGGGCTGGGATTGTGACTCAGTGGTAGAGCACTTGCCTTGCCTTGCATATATGAGGCAATGGGTTCGATTCTCAGCACCACATAAAAATAAATAAATAAAGACTACTTATGATATTATTCCATTTATATGAAATGTCCAGAAATGCAAATCCATGCAGATAGAAAAGTAGATGAGTGTTTGCATAGGGCTGGGGAGGTAAAGAGGAAAGGGCACCAGGATCAACTGTAAATAGGCCTGAGGGATCTTGCTGAGATAATGGAAATGTTCTAAACCCACCCTGAGACCATTGTGGAACCACTTGACAACTTTATAAAAAAATGTTGAATTGAACATTTAAATGGTTGAACTTTAAATTATGTAAATTATATCTTGATAAAGTTGTTTATTAAAAAGGGAGGGAATGAAGCCAGGCAGGGTGGCACACTCCTGTGATCCCAGTGACTTGGGAGGCTGGGGCAGAAGGATCACAAGTTCAAAGCCAGCCTCTGCAACTTAAGTGAGGCCCTAAGCAACTTAGTCAGACCCTGCCTCAAAATCAAAAATAAAAAGGGCTGAGGATGTGGCTCAGTGGTAAAGCCCCCCTGGGTTCAGTCCCCAGTACACCCCCCCCCCAAAAAAAAGTCAAATGTTGGTTGCCAAGGGCTGAAGTAGATAGGGGTAAGAAGAAAATTCATGTTTAATGGATACAGATCTTGTTTGGCAAGATGAAATGTTTTGGTGATGATAGTTTTACAATAGTGTGAACATACCAAATGCCATTGGTTAAGATGGTTGTGTGTGTGTGTGTGTGTGTGTGTGTGTGTGTGTAAGTGTGTGTGTGTGTGTGTATTGGAGATTGAATCCAGCGGCGCTTAACCACTGAGCCATGTCCCCAGCCTTTTTTCAATATTTTCTTTAAACTCAAGGTCTCACTGAGTTGCTTAGGGCCTCTCTAAATTGCTGAGGCAGTCTTTGAACTGGCAATCCCCCTCCTGCCTCAGCCTCCCAAGTCACTGGGATTACAGGCATGTGCCACTACACCTGGTTATATTGTATATATTTTATTGCAATTTAAGAGAGAGAGAGAGAGAACACCTGTGTGAATTGGTTTTTAGTTGAAACAAGTTTGAGAAATCTCAATCGGTTTGATTTAAAAAGCCATCAGTTTTTAAACTGAAGGAAATAGATCAACATATCTTTCTATAAAACTACAAAAATTCCAGGTCTACAGCTGCTTGGTAAACCCTAGAAGAGAAAGCCGCACATGCTCTGCTGTGGCTCCACAGTCCCACCCCTGAAAATTGTCACCCTAGATAGCTATAGTCTGGGTTTTACTAGGTCAGCAGACTCCAGCAAGTCCTGGCCTCTGGCCTCTTTGGCTGGCTTCTATCCAAGGCTCCTTTGTAACGTTGCCTTTGACCCCTCCTTATTGTTAGCCAAAACCTAGTTGTGAAGATGTTGTGACATGGACCATATCTTAGGATTGCAAAAGGGAACCGGATGCCCTCAAACAAATATTCCTGAGTGTTGATCCATGGCAGAAAAAAAAAAAGAGAGAGATTTTTATTTATCCAAAAAGAATGTTATTTGCATATGTTACAAGTTTTATAAATCTGTTAAAAAAATCAAATGTTTTCTTTACTTATTCATCCTTGATGTGGGACGACCTTTTCTCCTTCACTCCCATTTTTCCTTTTGATTTTCACAGTAAATATGCCCATAAAGAATTTTAAGATAATTCTTTGGGCTCTTTGAGCATTTTACTAAGAACTAACACTGAGGAAGTCGCATTTTGTTACAGCACAAGGAACCCTGAAGAAATTTCCAATTTCTGTCCAGGGCCCAGGACACACCCAAACAAAGCAAAACAGAAAAAGACTTGAATGTGCTCTCTTCTTTTGTGATTCTGAGGGCATGAATTCATTCAGGAGAAAGATGTCACCTGATGTGGACATGGGTAGGGTGGGAGTGGGACTTGGTGACACATGGAGGAAAAAACAAAACCCCCATCCACCCCCCAGGACCTACAGATCCCTGCAACTTGCCTTCATTTTCAGGTCCGCAGTACGTGACCGACACAGGTCATCTCTAACCTAGCTACGCCAACTCCAGAGCCTTCTACAAACACTGGCTCTTATTAGCAAATAACCTCTCCCTAAGTCATCATGCACGGAATTAATATTCTCATTTTCCATCCCAGGAAAGTGAGGGAAAGGACTTATATAGCTAGACCATTGAGTAATTAAGCACAGGAGATGCTTAATTTGTCTTCCAGGTTCTCTGTGTAAGATCCCCAACAGCATCTGTCTAATGTCACGGTTGCCACACTTGGGTTAGGGAGAGGAGGATATGCCTGTGGATTTACATTCCTCATGGTTCTGAAGGGGAGGACAGACAGTAATGGTGGCTGAGAGGCTTCCACAGGGACACTGGGAAGAATGTCCAGCGGCCACAGAACATAGCTAGCTTTGCAGTGACCTAAGAATGGGGGTGAAGTGGGGATGTCTAGAAAGGAGGAGGGAAGCAAAAGATTGGACTAATTTACTGGAAAGCCCAGGCCTTGTTAAGGAGTCTTTAAGATAATAGCTCTTTTGACTGGCTGTTCAGTTTTTTTCCCTTTTAGAAGTGGTAGTGGTGGTTGGCTGGGAGAGACGTGGAGAAAGCCGGGTAGGAAGGGGGTCAAAAGACACGTGATGGGGCTGATTAACAAGTAGGCTTTGTGAGCAGGGGACTGAGGGACACCTGCAGCGCTGCCAGACAGGCTTGCCCAGTGGGGGTTGTTTGAATGAGAAAACAGCTTCCAAAAAGATGTAGCCAAAGAATATAAAAGCACAAGGAAAATGTGCATTTGTGAGATGAGGGAATGGTGGTGGAGTTTTATCTCTGACTCTCTTTTAAATAAATCTTCCATTATCTATATTCTCACCCTTAGGTCAGCATCCCAAGATGCAAGAGAGAGAGAGAGAGAGAGAGAGAGAGAGAGAGAGAGAGAGAGAGAGAGAGAGAGAAGATTCAGAGCCAGGCCTGGGAGCTGGTGTTTTGATCAAAAAAGGAATTCACTTTCAAACAGACATGTATTCTTTGAAAAAATAATAATAATAAATAAATAAAACAAACAGAAAATCTCTTCCAACTCAGCTGACTAAGTCCCAGTCAGGATGACAGCAGCGTTCACTTGCGAGATCCCACAGAGCTGGGGTCCAGCAAGAAAATAAATGTGACTTTCATATCAGAGCATAGTGCTGCTTTGTTTGTCATCCAATGAAAGGACGGGCATTACAATGCTATTGTATTGCCAGAGGTCATCTGGAGACCCACCAGCTTTGGGGTGAAATACAGCTAAACCTGTGTTTTGGCAGACTGGCATCAGTATCTCACAAGAACCAGGGGGCTCAGTTCTTGGTTTCCAAGGAGCAACGTTTGGGTGGGGTGAAGGTGGGAGAGCAACACACACACTCAAAAAAACAAAAAACCCAAACCCTTCTTGGGTAATCATCTTAGCCAGATTTAACCCCAGATGGCTACCTCATTTGTTGATATTTCCTGCGGTTAATAAAGTCTCAGTAAGCATTT